TCATTTAAGAAAATAAAATCGAAAAAAAATTTTTTTTCCCCGGCGACCTAGGGTGGTCCTCTCGCGGACCCTCTCTTAAGTTCTTCCCATATTTCTTTGTATTTGAGCTTTTGAAAATGTTTTTCGTTTTCTTCTTTATCTCTCAGTCCTGCAATAGCTTCGATGCTTTTTTCCTGTTCGATTTCATCTTGAATGGGTGTGGGTGTGGGTGTGGGTGTGATATAGCTACCACAATACCTTTGGTATTTCGATGTTGCTTACTGCAAAAACTTTTCTCTGTGTTTACATACATATTATATGTCGATTCATTTGTAAAAAAAGGGAAATGGTATAATAAGAAAGTTTTCAAAATGTTTCATTTGTGATTGAGTCACATGATAAGTTTTTCAAATTTTAGAGAAGCATTGGGTGTGGGTGTGGGTGTTGTCTCTCTCGCTCACACATCCACAACCACAACCACACCCACACCACCACATCCCACACGCACATCCACATTCACACATCCACATCCACACCCACATCCACACGCACACGCAAATCATAAATGCATTTCTTTAAAATAGTTCATAAATTTCTAGGTAACGTTTAGATTTACTTATCCTGTGCCGCTTTCATTTTATTTTCAAGTTGAGTTTCCATCCAGTTTTTTTGTTTCCTACGAATTTTCATTGCGTTTAAACTATTGTTTTTTGAAAATTTGATTCATAATTGTTTACGATTCACTTGTTTTGCTTGTAATTGTAAATGCAGGGCTTTGATGTATGTTTTATTAATTAAATAAATCAACACGAAACGCGTCGGCGACATTAAACTGTACATTTCATTAAAACACAATTAATCAAATACAGATGGTTCGACTTAGTCAATTTCTGAGAAACAAGAGATGAAACTAGAAAATTGACTTGTATGATAGTCGTGCAAGTCAATTTGTTTTCATTTGATTTACGTACACCTACACATTCGCACCCATCATTCGAGAAGATAGAAAGAGAAGAAAGAAACATTCCGCTGCTATTTCAATAAAGGTTCGAAAGAAAGATATGACCTGATAGACGATGTAACAAACGCTGTGCTCTTCATATTGGATGCCATTTTCTTTCATCTCTCATATTTTATCGCACTTCCTTTATCTTGTTTATATGAAATTCAATCTGATGTTACTTCACTATTTGGTATTGAGTCGACGAAAATCCCTTACCACTTCTTTTCCTTTTTTGTTCCTTTATTCGCACTTTCGAAAAGACAATTAGTATACACTTTTTGTCCGAAGCTTGACTCAGTCAACAATGTTGATGAAAGAAAACATCTTTCTACTTCTTTTCCTATGGCAGATTATTGCTATAGCGCAGGGGCTCTATCTAGATGTCGAGAAGCCACAAAATATATTTGCTCAAACGTCCAGCGTTTTTTATCGGAAGAAATTGTGGAACACTAATATTGTTACAGTATCATTTATCAATGGCAATTGTGATCAGCGTTCACAGGTCCGAATGGTTGCTTCAGAATGGACACCCTATTCAAATATTAACTTCATATTCATCGATCAGTCAGAGAAAGGAGATATTCGCGTGTCATTTAATGATAGCGTGGGAAGTTGGTCTTGCGTGGGTATGGATTCCAAACACAATTCTGGAGCAAGTATGAATTTTGGCTGGAATGACCGAAGCACAATCCTGCATGAATTCGGACGTAAGTGAAAACGCCTTAAATTTGTCACACAGCTGACTGAAATTTTGTTGTATTTGTCAAACTAAGATGCTTTGGGATTGGACCACGAACAGCAGAATCCAATTGGAGGAATAAAACTGAACGAAACAGCAGTATACAAAAGGTACGGTGGACCACCACACTATTGGTCTCCTGACAAGATCAAGCTTAATGTGATCGATATGTTCAGCAAAGATCAAACAAACGGAGTCTATGATCCAAACTCGATTATGCACTACGCCATTGACCCCGAGTTAACAATAAACAAATGCTGTGGTACTAAAAAAAATAATGATCTTTCGACAGGAGACAAACATGCCATTCAAAAGCTATACGAAAAATTCAAACCATCCACAGGTAAGTGGTGGTAGAGACATGAAGCTTTTCTCAAGCAGATATACAGAGTTCTCATCTAATATCATCCGATTCAGAAACAGAACTAAGTAACGACTGTGATAGTGGTTGGAAAATCGTCGATGCTTTAATTTCAGACACGTTTTCTGCTTCTACCTTTTGACCTAGCAAAATAAATTCTGCTAAGTCATTTTTCAGATTTTGATTTTCATAAGTTTGTTCTTTGATTAAAGTGTTTTGGCAGAATTGACTATCAGCCTGAAAATAAGATTAAAATGAGCGCCACCTTCACAATCGAAGAGAACTTCAAAAAATTATATACATACCCTCGCAGTTAACGCAGTATATAAATGGGATGCTGAACAATGAAATGGACAACAATATAAGAAACTGTAGCGATTCAGATTCCAATGATAGAATATTCACTTCCCCCCAAAAATGATATATATGAACACAAGATCTAGAGTTATGTGTATGCGCATAAGGGACTGTTTCATGACTCACGGCTCTTTCCTGTTGGATTTGTCCAGACTTTGTTCACGCACTTTCTGACTTTATTTTAAAATGTGACATCTAAATTCAACATTACGGAAATAGTTTATCACATTCAGAACTATTCTCAGAAAGATTGAATTTCTGTTCCTCATCCCGAGTTGCGCTGAAAACTTACACACATAGGTAGTTTGGCATGCTATTCAATATGAGGCATTTACTGGAGAGACTCCTTCAATGAGGAGGGGGGGGGGGGGGGGGGGGGGGGGTTGGACTACTATTATTGGGCATAAACATTAGCTCATCCTCACCCTAAAAAAATTGTCTCATTTTTTGAAAATAATCTTCTGTTATCATCATGATTGTAGACGCTCTTGTGTGGGCTGTGAAATGGAATGGCATCGGAAGAAGCAATAATCGCGCTCATAACTACGCGGAATCATGGAGAGGGATCGGCATCTCGGAGACAGAAAAAAAAGCGCTGATCTCGAAAATTCATTGTCAACCGGCCAGTGAGATTTATGCGGGTTTACTCTCTCGATCAAACGCAAAAGTCAGCGCTTATGGAACATGTATGGTTGGGGTCGTCAGAGGAATGCCTACATTTTGGGTTAACGGAATGTACGGTGCTGTTGGACACTCTGGTTATCCAAAAAATCCTGCTAGTAAAGATGGAACAGGGCATTTACAAAATTGCTACAACGAACACAGATTGACTGGTCTTTGCTTATATTCGAATGTGGCAGAGCGAGCAAAGCAGACTCTTCTCTATGCCATTGAAAACGACGTTTGTACTGATTACCCCAATCGCTAACTCAATCTCAGAATAGCTTCTCAAGTAAGTATTATGAACTCTGAGTTTCACGCATGTGATGCTGATTATGAATTAGACAAAAACAATTTATACAGAAATATCAGTTGTCGTCTAAAAGGTTTTAAAACTCAACATGACAAATATTATTTCATTTTACTATTTGTAGAAAAATCGAGAAAACTAATTTTCTTCTCTTTGTTCTCTCGGTTTTAGGACCATACTGAGTCTTTATTATTCAGATAGAGCGTCTAAAACTATCCATAAAATCAAAATTTTTAACCAGATGCGACAATAAGTTCAAAATATCGTTCTCTGACAAAGCTTAATATCAGAAAAAACGACTTGTACTGGAAATCTTTTATTTTTACCGATCGTGTGTGTAATGAGTGGACCAGAAAGAAGGAGCCTTGTCAATATTTTTTCTTACAACTCTTTTCTATTTTAACTTTTAGGATTAATTTCAAGTTTCAACGTTTTCACCTCAACGATTCGCGGTCCCAAACCATACAGTGATGTCCTGCATTCCAGTTGCACGCTTTTTATGTTGAAAAAATTGAAATCAAAGCAATTTTTAATAAATACTTTCTTTAGTTTCCTTTGATAATGTTTCATCCAAACTTGTAAAATCAAGTCAAAAGCTATTAATTTTCCATAGGCCCGGGATCCATTCAGATAATACCATTCACCACTTGACTGTTCAGTGAGGATGAAGATAGTAATTGGTTGCAACTACGACACGTCTCACTCTGGATAAAAGATCGCATGAAGTAGTTTTTACATAACGAAACTTTATCGAATCCAGAGTGAAAGCTCATTGTATCTAATTAACTAAACATTGATTTAAAAGAATATCTGAACTGATGTTGGTTGTTTTTTCTGCGGAAATGTTGGTAAATCGATGCAGTCCAGCACGAAACGCTCAAAATTTTGCTGTATTCGTCGCAAAAACTGATATAAAAAAATCTAATCGACAATTCTTGAATCAGAAACTAGCCGGAAAATCGTGAAGTGTCATTGTTTCAGAAGCCAGTACAAATATGTAGCAATATCAATATACCTTGTCATAAATATATGCATATTCACAGTTCTTAATATAACTTACTTCTTAATTGCTTACTTCTGATTTAGTCAGTGACTCAACTGAGAGGAGTCTTAAGAGAGCGTCCATGAGAGCATCGAGTATACGAAGGACTCGATAAATTTTTTTTTCGATTTTTTTCGCTCATTCAAAACTTCAATGTCTAAAACTACTAACCCTAAAATTTTAGGGTTCTAATACCCTTTCTATGAAAAGTTAGCCAAGACCAAGTTTTGGCACCATCGGGCCTTTTTGTGGAACAATAAGCAAAAATATTCTATAGAAGATGTGCTAGCTTGCGTTTTAGAAAATCATTGAAATTTGTTGTGATATACATAGGAAGATAGAGAACTGAGAACTGAGGGTATGGGTGTGAGTGTGGGCGTTGAAAATGAAGAGATTAATATCCACCCTTACCGGGGCCCACGCACCCACACTCGCCCCCCACACCCACACTCGCCCCCACACCCACAACCAAAAATCAATGGCGGTAGCATTCTAAATGTTTGAATAACATTGTTGAGTACTTTTACTCGGAGTGTCGATTTAAATTTACTTTTATTTAATTTACGCGTAAATTAAATGATAAGTAATTTACATTTATAATAAATATAAATTTTTCATAATTTATATTTATTATAAAGTAAACGATAAATGACACCCCTATTTTCTAGCCTGATCTTGAACTATCTTGTTCATCATTTGATACAAGTAAAAATTGAATAATAAAAGAAATGTTAATTGAATTTGATAATGATGATAGTGTTAAAAGATGAACTATTGTATGAATTAATTCAGCAAGTAAATTTGCATATGCAGCACATAAATGTGGATCACTATTTTCACATAAAGATAAAATATATTTAATGACTTAAAGAGAAAAAGACATATCGATTTTCGATCGATTTTAATATATTATAAGTCATACAGAGATGGAAATTTTATTTTTCGCTTTAGGAAATTCTATGTCAATTAGAAAATTATATTTAATAATATATCTTCAAAGACTAGGGTGTGGGTGTATGGGGTGTCGGTATGGGTGTGGGGGGTGGGGGTGGGGGTGGGTGTTGCTGTGGCTATGGGCGTATTATTGATGAGATATCAACTTTCATACCCACTCACACCCGCACCCACACCACCCACACCCACAGACCCACACCCACACCCACAGACCCACACCCACACCCACACCCACACCCACACCCACACCCACACCCACACCCACACCCCG